GGGGGAGTGAATTCACTCAACAAGTTTTGCTCATTTCGAGGCCCATGTTTTTCGGAACAAGGAAGAAAAAAAGGAGAACCTTCCCCGTAGAAAGGGGGGGGGCGTATGCCTTCCAGGTTTCAGAAAAAATAGAAACCACAAGAAAAGAAAAGTCTGTCCCTTTCCCCCAGAAAACCTTCCCAATCCTTGTTTCCAACTCCAACCAGGTTAAGAGCCGACCCAAAGTCCGTCAAGTAAGTGAGGAGGGTATAAATGTCATCCCATAAAAGAACGCCCACACCGACAAGATATGAACACAATGCTCCAAGATGATGTAGTATGTTCAAAATCCACCAAGCGGGGGTATTTCCGTTTGTTCGCGCCAATAAGTCATCATGAGTTTGGGTGAAAAGAAAAAAGGTCGTGCATAAAAGCCCTCTGTAGCAGGCTTGTTCTCATGTAAACGTCGTCAGAGAAAAATGTGTCGTAAAGTCTAGGCACTGATAGCCGCCACCACAATAAAATGTGCCGACTGGTAAAAGCATGTACAAAGAAGTGAAGTATTATGATCCGAACAGTGGTCACCATCGCTGTTTGTCACATCTACAACGGTGACTGAGATCGACGGTTCGCTTCCCTCTGCCGAATCTCCTTGAGGCGCTGGTCAAGGTAAGCCAGGCGGCCGGCAAGATTGGATCGTACGGGAGAGGTACTCGACTCGGTCGAGGGCTGTTGGATAGTGGCAAATGGTCGCCCAAGCATGCCGAGGTCGACACTGCCGCTTTGCGCCCGGTGCATTCTGCTGGGGAAGCTGAAGCTCGAGCGGGTCGCTCGGTGACCCTTGAATGGAGAGCCAAGACGGGGAGGCTGGAGAGCTGGAGGTTCCAACAACTGGCCTCCCACGTTGGGCATGCTAGTGGACGAGCTCAGGGTAGGTACCGGAGGTATCCTTGGGATGAACAGCTCATCGTGGTGGCTCGACGCTGTGGAACAGAATTCCCGGTCGGCACGAGCGTCGCCCGTGGAGTTCATGCTGAAGTTGGGGTCGAGCCACAGATCAGCGCCGATGCTAGGTCGTACGCGAGGAACGCTGGATTGGGTGTGACGTCGCTTTTGAGTACCCGACCTGCTCATTCGTACTGGTGACTGGAGTGTGCGGCGAGAGCCAAGTGTCTGGCTCTGTCTGCGAGGCATTGGTCCACTCAAGCCAAGCACGGTGGCAAGCGATCCCGAGGAGCTGGGTCCATAGCTCTTCGCGCCAAAGGGGGATCCCAAACGTTGGCGCTCGGCGAAACCAGGCCCGCCCTCGTAAGTCTCGATATTTGGGCTGATAATCGGCATGTCAAAAGCCGGTGCCAGTGGGAAGGGCTCAGTAGCATTAGATTGCTCCTCCTCCACAGGCTCAGGGGTTGAGCCCGTGAGTTGCGCTAAGGGACCAGTTGGTTGCATGCTTTCTGCTGTGCTCAAGGCAAGAGACAGAGACATGTCCTGGGTCGCGAATTGAAGAGGCTCATGCGCCGGCGCCGGGCGCATGTTGGAGTGACGCGCAGCAGCTTGCGCAAAAGGGGTCGTGCTGCGAGGGAGGAAGCGTGGGTTCTTTGCGCCCGCCGCAGCTTTCTGTCTGCACAGCTCCCGCAGGTGAACTCGGGTCGCGGCGCAAGTGTGAGGCCACTGGATAAATGTGCTGCTGTTCTCGGCGGTGGGTGTAGTGCTGCCACTCTTCCTTCCATCGCTCACGTTGGTCTTCTTCGTCAAAGCTTTGGCGCCCTTCCAACTTCTCTTTGCTTCGCGCGCCACGCGAAGGCAGACACCGTCAGGTGGGAGGCAGCTCTTGCCCATCCGGAAAGGTGTCACCTTGGGGTCCTGGAGATACAGGATAAACGTTGACCACAAATGGTCGCTCATCGCCTTGGTCCAGGGAGCCTTCCTGGCCTTGGCTTTACCAGCTGCTGCGGATGGCTGAGCTGCCGGCGGAAGCTCGGGTTCTTCTTGGCGATAATGCTCTTTGCTTTCTAGTAGAGGGCTGGCGCAATTGTCGTCATCTGAAAGCATGGAAAAGCGGCTGAACAAGGATGCGCTAGTCAATGTCGACCTAGCCGTCGAAGGTCTGCTGGATTCGTAGTCTGGCTCTGGTGTCGACTCGACGCTGCTGGCAGTCGAGTCAAGGGTCCAGTTGGGGTACTGCCCCGGCGATAAGCACGGGATGAAGTCGGGTGCTGGCGTCTTTGGGAGCTCGTATGTTCGCCCGATGGGCTGCAAAAAGCTCGCATCCATCTCCTCGTGGCGCATTCTCGCGGGGAAAGAGTCAGCGTTCCCCATGGCGAAGTCGTGCGAACTCGTCTCTGGCTCCTCAATGCTGGGAATTGGAACGTCGGCGGCAGCCACAGAAGCGAGAAACTGCTGAGTAGGTGCCGTGAGTTGAGAGACAACGCGCCTCTTGACCAACCTTAGACGTGGTTTTGGTGGCGAAGGGATTTGAGCCTCATCGTTTTCTGCGAAGGGCTCCGGTGTCCTGGGCATCTCAAACCTGAAACCCCGTGGGAGGGTTGCCGAACCGGAATGTTGATTCATCTTGTCTTTGACCGGAATGCTAGTGCGTCATAAAGAAGCTAATTATGGTGAAACTAGGGAATTCGGTTGGGGGTTTGGAATTAGGGGTGATGTTTTGGCGAGTAAAATGGAAGTCGTTCGTATGTTTGTGTCGTAAATATCGTATCGCGTTCGTTGATTGTTTTGCGCTCTCTGCTGATGGTGTCAAGCCAGGCAGAGAGAGAGACAGAGAGACAGACAGATCCCAACTACCTGATTGTCTGTGGGAAGCTCAATATCAAGCTCTGGAGGCGCGTTGTGGGAGTTTTGACGCGTTTTGGGGATTTGTTGGTGCCAGTGGGAAGGTAGCGCAGCGCATGTCAAAATCGGATGGCTGGTCAAAAGGTGACGGATGGGCTGGGGAAAGCTGGGGTCTGAGCAACGCAACCGTAAAAAGCAAGTGCACAGCCGCAAGATCCAGGTCCGGCAACAACAACAATAAGCTCCTCGAACAATTGATAATGGCGAAAAACGGAAAATCCAGATCAGGGAGGTTGAGATGATCGTCGGAATTTTGTGACGGAAAAAGAAAAAGTACCGTGTCGTCAGTCTCGTAGTCGTCTGTCTGTGATGTCCGTCATGTGTTGGAGTGTCCGTAGAGCATCTGAGACCCTTGCGCCGAGCGCGACCGGCCGTTTAATCTGGTCGCAAAAGGAGTGACTGCGCAGAAGGAAAAGGGGGAGGAAGGGGGGAGGGGACTACAGCAGACGGGAACGTTGGGAATATGTAACTGTGCTGTGTGCTGTTGCTGAGCAGAGAAGAGGGGGGGGGGGGTGGTGACTGTGAATGTGGGCGGCGCCAGGAAGGGCAGCGGACCCTTGATCGCAAGGTCCCCTGAACACCTTATCCACTCTCCACTCGCAGTAGTCGCCGACAGGGCCCAGGCCCGCTAGAAGACGACTTCAAGCTCTTGCCGCGGGGTGTGTGCGATGCTGCGTCCGGGATGGAACCCCAACCTCAGGCAGCGTGCAGGGCAAACTGTTGTGGATTCGTGGATTTGCAGACTCGTGGACCTCTTGAGGATCTGACTATGGATATCAAGTTGCCAGTTGGGCAGCGTAGCTGTTCGGCTGGCAGCAACGCGTGTCCGGTTGGGGATGGATGGGAGCTCGAGGACCAGCCAGTGGCTTGTGAAAGTAGCGCAGGAGTGGCAGGCGAGTGGGGGAGGAGTAGTGACAGTGGGTGGGTTCGTGATTCCTTCACGCGTCGCGCAGAACAGAGCGAATCGAATGGCTTGCAGAAAAAAGTCGAGGCGAACGAGGGAAAACGAAGGGGCTGGGGGATTTCTCGCGTGCTGCAAGTCGACATGCAGGAAACCACTTGGCGGGGAAAAAGAAGCGCAGAAGCGTGGGTGGACTCTGGACCAGCGACTGGGGAAGAGATCGAGATGATGGATATTACTACGTCAGACACCTCCGGCGGGGTGTCTCCGCTGCATTAAGACGGTAAGTCAGGATGATCCAGCTATTTCGCATTTAGATTGATCCCAAGGAAGCGGTTGATGAGATGGGAATGATAGCAGCCCAGGACACTGTTGGGACGAGAGGGAAAAGAAGGCACTGTGTGACCACATCAACAACGGTCCTCGCTTGTGAAGTTGTGGGAGGGGTTGACCGGGGCATCCGTCGCGTTTTTTCGCGTGCCAGACGCGTTTGGGCGGGCGACCCTAAGTGGCCGTTTTTAAAGTGGTTTTCTGCCCACTCACATCCCGCAAACTCCCACAACTTTCCCCTTTCGGATCCTTGTGCGCATGAAAATACGAAGCAAGGGCTCGTCTTGATGGCTATTGGAGCCACTTTGGTATAATTCATGATATGTCAGTCCTGTTGTCGTTGTTTAGGCACATTTGTGCATTGATATGCTGTTGAGTTGAAACGAAGCAAATCTACCAGAATCTGAGAAGCCAGGTTCTACAAGCACACCCGTCTGTGCGCTCGAGCATCTACAGACACACCTGCGCTCTATAAACGAGACCACAGAGTACAATACACAGAACGTGGTTTGGATAGCATCGTCGTATTAAAACCTCTGGCTTCGGTGAGACACACCGCTCTCCGAACCGCGTCTTATTCTCTCGGAAGAATGATGGCGATCTTGGGACCTGGTTCTGGTACTAGCCATGTCCATGAGTTCAAGAAGCGACTCTACACCTCGCTCTTGAAATCAGCAGCTTGGTTTGCGCACTCCTCTAAGTTGGGTACTTCCAAACGGAGAATAGGAGCGGTGAATTCAGCGACCAACTCGCGCACAAGCTCAGAAACAAATACATTAATACAAGCTTCCAGGGACAGTCTTCCTGTTGTTGTGGACGGCTGATATCAGGGGTGCTAAGGATGGGTGCCACTCTATCCATATGCGGGTACTACCTTGATCCATCGCCTCCGTGACGGGAAGGCACTTTGACAGCTTGACGACGGCCAAGCCCAGACGTTATATATCCAGATATAAAAACATCACAATCCCATACCAAACTTCACCTTCTTCGATCAAAACACTCAGGGCACAAATTCAGGTCCAGGTTCCATGATAAGCATGGGGCTGGTGGTGTGCACACGCGGCACACCATTGATAATGGCTTGGGCTATTCCCTTTTGGGAGGGATGATCTCTCATCAGCTCCTTCAGCTGGCATTTGGAATCCCTTGAGCAGGCATCGGGGGATACATCCCTTTTCTCGCTGCCTGAGTGAGAATTCAACTGTGCCTCACCCTTCATTTTGGACACCTCTGGCTTTTCGCTGAAATCGTCGAGGCTTGATGTGATCATTCGACTGTTCCATCTCAACAGTCGTCGCCATGCTGGCCTCCCCGCGCCTCGTTCATCTGCTCAAGTTCGCCGGTCCGGCACTGATTGTCGTATGGTTGGTCGCCTACATGGTCTCGGACCAGCCAGCGTATAACAGCGTCGTTCGCCAGTTCAAAAGCGAAAGGGATATCTTCATCACGGATTTCTTGGATCACGATGTTGGCGGACAACTAGATGGCAGTAGTATCTCGGAGCTATGCGCGAGCAAGACTTGGACACCAGGGTTGATGCTGTCTTGTGATCCCCAATCTGGAGGTTTTGGCCAAGTCAAAGACGCGCATCTGAACTGCATTCGCTTCGCTATCGAGGCTGGTGGTAAGATGGAGAAGTCTGACATTCAAAAGAGGTACGCAAACTGACGGATGGATTTGTTCAGCCGAGTTGGTTCTTCCCCGGATCATCAAGCGCGACGATAAGAACGTTGCGAATACCCGGCCCAAGAACGGCGGCGGTCCCTACATCGGGGAGTTTATCGACTACTTGTTCGACTATGAATACCTCAACCAAACGCTATCGGAGCACTGCCCGCAGCTGAAATTATATCGATCCATGAACGAGCTTTGGGATGTGCCACAGGTGCAATCAGCTCGGAAGATTAGCTTACAAGATGTTGGAGCTAAACTGAATGGCTCCGTTATTGAGGACATGAATACGTTGTCGGAGCAGATCAAGTCGTACATCGACAGGACAGAGGACCCAGAGACACGTCCGTTTCCCATACGGTTCAGATCCGATGTGATAAGCTCGGTTTTCCCAACAGCATATGGGAACCCAGAGTTGGCCAAGAACTTTGGCCGTCTTCTACGGCCGCGTAAAGACGCCAGAGTGCTCGCCGCTATTGCGCTGTACAATCTACACAAGAAATATCAACTGAATCTGGACCCTAAGCAGGGTTTCCAGCACAGCACTTTCCCCGGACTACATCTCAGGACAGAGGCGGATGCGACTCCTATCTTTCCACCCTTCGACGACCAGGTCTCTACCTTGGTCGAGCTTGTCACCAACTCAACGACCGGCTTTGCTTTTGTTGCCACGGGAGAAACAGAAGAGCGCAGACGAAAGTTATCCAAAAAGGCCGAGGCGGTGGGCGTGACGATGGTATACAAGCAGGATTTAATGCTGGATGAACCGGAAGGCCGAGAGCTTCTCGAGCAACTCACATGGGACCAGCGTGCGCTCGTCGACTACGAGATCATGCTTCGGGCGGGACTGACCGTTGGCCTGAGCGGCTCCATCTTTGACTGGAACATCGCACTCAGGCGGAATTCTGTACCAGGAGCAGACGGAGAGCCACAGTCTCTCGCCACCAGCTCCCCTATCCAACATCAGGATAGGTATTCGATCCTTCTTGGATCTTCAGAAAAGGCGGACACATTGAGGGCGACAGTATGGCCATGAGAGCCAGTGAAGGGTTTCAAGACATGAAAGGTATACCAATAATAATAAATAATACATACTAGATTTGCATCCTTACTCATACTTACTGCGTTACACAGCCTCCTATGCCTGACATTGTTGGTTGAAACGACGAGCGTGGGATAAGATAGCGCACTACCATAAATAGGCGGAGGATGGGAGCGCGGCGGTTAAGGCGTCATCGGCTGACATGGTTGCACCAACGTCATCTCGGGCCCTTACAGTTCATTGGTGAATCAGCCAGTTCCAAATCGTGGGACCACATCCGACGTTGTCGTTCCGAGTCTGCTTCAAGCTGCTCCAGTCGCGCCGGACCACGTTGCGCAAAGTTGCAGATGGAAGCTGCAATACGCAAAAGATTGCGTGCGTTATCGGATACGGGCCTTTGAGAAAGGACGACGCGAGTTTTGGGCAGTAACGTCACGAGGCTAGCAACATTTGGGCGCTGCTCCAAATTTGCCTAACCCAAAAGTCAGAGCGTCCACTTCACCTCTTTGCCTACCTAACTACCTACCTACCTACCTACCTACTGCACCCACTCACTACTCCGCCCCCAATTGATCACCATGTCCTCCACCGTCGATATTGTCACTATTGGCAATTACAAGGAGAAGCTGCCGAGATGGGATCCCAACAGCAAAAACCACCGCTATGCCCTGGTTGACATGGGAAGGTAAGCCGAGCGCCCCTTCTTCTCTTCCTTCTCCGTAACCATTCCCTAATCAAACATCACGCTTCCCTCGAAGCAATGGCATTCGGTTCTCTGTCTCGGATCTCTGCCCTCCTCGGGCCCGCCTGCTCAAGTGTCTCTACCGAGAAAGGGCGGCCATCTCGTTGTTCGATGCCCTGAACCGGCCATCAACATCGGCACATGGCGACCATCCCTTGGTCTTCCCCGATGCGACAATCAAGCAAGTCTCGCAGACACTGGCACGCTTCAGGTCTATTGCTGTCGACAGCTATGATGTGCCTCCCAGTCAGCTGATCGTCTTTGCGACAGAAGCCATGCGCCGGGCCGAGAATGCCGCGTCTATGCTCGAGGCGATACGTGCCGAGGCTCCCGATCTGAGCGTGCATATCCTTTCGCCTCAAGTCGAGACCCTCTTTGGAGCCGTGGGGGCTCGGTCAAGCTTTGTTGATGTGAAGGGCTTGATTCTCGATCTCGGCGGCGGTAGTGTTCAGATGACGTGGATGGACACGTCTGGTACTTCTGGGCATCAACAGGACCAGGGACAGCCTCTCCCTGAGGTGGAAGCAGCGGTTGCGGGACAGAGTCTGCCGTTTGGAGCTGCTCGCCTCATCAAGATTCTCGATACCGCCCACGTCGATGTGCAGACGTCCGAAAAAGCCAAGCTCCAAGATGGCATGGCTAAGGCTTTTCAGACACTGTGCGCCAAGTTTCCTACCCTCGCCCAGCTTGCTGCTGAGGCGAGGGGGAAGGAGGCGGGGATCGATATCTTCCTCTGCGGCGGAGGGTTCCGGGGTTACGGAAGCATGATCATGCACAAGAATCCCATCCAGCCCTATCCGATCCCATCAATCGGATCATACACGGCCTCTGGACAGCTCTTCAACAAAACCAAGGAGATGCTTCAAGTCAACAAGTCTTTTGAAGGCAAAATCTTTGGCATGTCAAAACGCAGACGTGCCCAGTTTCCAGCCATTGTCACTGTTGTTGAAGCTCTCATTGCAGCAGTGCCCCCTATACGTTCAGCAACGTTCTGCTCAGGGGGCAACCGGGAGGGTGCGTTGCTGATGATGCTACCTCGGGAAATCAGGAACAGCAATCCTTTGTCACTTCCAGATGACATTGAGAGCTCAATTCCTTCGGGTCCAGCACAAGGTGGCACAACCCTACAAGCCCTCCTCAGCACCTTGCACTCGGCATTTCCGCCCGGTTTCGACTTGACCAGCGTAGCCAGCGTCTTCAGTCTGCAGCTTGGTCCCCTTTACGCCAGCCACATTTGGTGTCGAATGGGCGAGAGTGATGCTGCCAACGCGTCTTCTGCTCTCCACGATGCCATCAACCATCCTGACTCGCCGGGTCTGACGCATCTGGCTCGCGCGGTTTTGGCTGTGACTCTCTGCGCACGCTGGGGCGCAAACCTGTGCCCTATCGATCAACAGCTCCAGCGGAATCTTCGCGAGCTTGTCGATGCGGCAGATCCGAACGCTGGTTTCTGGGCAGACTATACGGGGGCTGTAACAGCAGCACTGGCAACAGTCATTCCAGCGTGGCCCAAGTCTAATGAGGCCATCAGGGACAAGATCTCGTTCCGTTCCAGCGCTGAGCAGGGGAAGAAGTACAAGTTACATCTCGAGATCACCATCAGCAAAGAGGCCTCGAGAGGTCTCGATTTTGACGACTTGAGGGAGTTGTTCAAGAAGGTCGGGAAGCATGGTGACGAAAAGAAGAAGGTTATCGTCACAGTCAATGTACTTGCTTGATGCAGGATTGTTGAATATGGACGGCTAGGCTGCACTCAAGGCCATGATGGACGGACGGTTGAGAGTATGTTTCTATCTTTGGAACGTATCTGACAACCTCTCTTCGACTTTCCCCCAGACAAAAGGCAAAACAGAGTAGCACCTCACAAAGACGACAAAACATCCAGCGCCCGGCTCAGCATAACCTGACAAGTCTTGATGCCAGATCAAGCAACCTTTCGGGCCTATGCAACATTCTTGAGCACCCAAACACCCCAATCACCCGCGGGGGCCTTGTCTTTTCCCATCCATAACGCCAAGAAAACAGTCATCAATCGTCATCAATGTCATCGAGTCATCAACCTCATCGACATCGTCAATCATAACAAATACCCAGAGCGCCTCACTCAAGAGCTACACCATTATGAAGCTAGCGGCGCTTCGTCTTGGGCTTCTTGAGGTCTCTGTCGACAAGATGTGCCCGGAAGAACTCGTCTGCCGGCAAACTCAGATTTGCCACTTGCTGGTCTGTTGGGAAATTTACCGTCAGTCGATCACATCGCCGATGCCGATTTTTAGGACGGCAACTCACAGAATGTTGGCACAGCAGCCACCACGCTCTGGAACCCTCTATGGAGAACATCATCTCCGAAAAGTCTCGCCTCAGGGTTCTGGATATTCTGGATTGTCTTTGGCTTGTGGAACAGCTCCCAGTAAATCACAACAACGCTACGAAACAAGTCCGCGGTTGTCGTTCGAAACCTCCGTCGCTTCTCATTGGTCTCAACTGTTTTGTTGTTAGTACCAAAACGGTGGTGGAGTACTTTGTCTGGGGTTTTGCTCACCTCCTGGCACATATGGTTCCGCTTCATTGTGCTCCTGGAGCAGCCTGAGCGACTGGCGGTAGACCAAGATCATTTGCCAGAGCGACACCCATCTCGAAAGCTCGAGAATCGGCTTGGTCGCGGTTGTCAAGCCAGCAGCATCTTTCTTGAGGTATTCATCAAAGACCTCCAGAATGTTCTTTTCAAGCCTCGAAATTGCCGAGGCCGCGGTGAAGCGAAGCCAGCTCTGAACGGAGGAGAACTGCAACCCAAGGGGGCGGCCAGCACCGGCTTCTTGCCGCCGGCCAAAGAAGTCTTTGCAACTCCAGATCTTCCACATCAGCTTCAACTCTAACAAATTAGACAAGAGCTTCTTCTGGCTTTCCACAGCCTTGATCGGCTTGCCCGCAGTTGCGCGGTCCATGGCCCTCTTCAAACCTTCGCCGCGGACATGGTGGATGTGGAAGTGGTTGAGGAGCGACTCAAAGTCATCGATTCTGTCATCCATCTGCATATCATCCTGTGCCCACGCCAGAAGGGCATTCTCTTGCAGCGGTTGCGATGACAATGAGATACCAAACCGAGTGCCCTGGTCAGGGTGAATGAAGGGAGCCACCGTCAAGGGCAAGCAACGACTGTTGGTCTTGTCTGAGAAAGAGATAAAAATGACGAAGGACCCGCCTTCATTCATAGGTTCACGCCTCGGAGGCTCGCTCAAGTTCCAGCGTGCTTGACGTCACAGTCAGTCTTTACTTCGGCTCTCATGGCACCGAGACAAGCATACCACTTTGGCTGGCGACCATGCTCGACAGAAGCTGTCGAACACAGGCCAGCTCGGGCTTGGGATGTTTCAAGCAGGGTTCGCAGGCAGAAGTAGGAGAGCACTATGTACAGAGACCCAGTCAGCAATGAGGTGGGCAGGGAGAAGGGAAGAAGAGGCCCTGCTTGCCTTGCTCTTGTTCATCCTACAGTGGTAGCACGCCCCGGCATCGCGTACCTCCTTGGTCTGCTCTGGGGACTCCAGAACTCGAGGCCTCTTGCTCTGGGGCCGCTCGTTTTGGACAGCTCTGGGGGCAGCCATGTCTGGTTGGCCAAGGTGAGGGGGACGGAGCTCGATGGGCGACATCTCGCGTGTTGGTTCCGGTCCTAGGACGGGCCAGACGAGAACGTGGGGGTCTGATTCAACGTCTGACATGGGAAGATCCCCATCAAGATCGGAGGCAGGACCGGGTGACTGGGGTGACGACTGGGGTGACCTGGGGAATGCGGGAACACCCTTGGCGCCTTCGGCCGAGTGTTGGGATTGTGTGGTCACATCAGATGTGCCATGCCTTTCATATGCCGTCCAGTCAAAGAGGTCGGAAAAGTCGTCACTTTGGGAAGAGGTACTTGCAGAGTCCCGGTCAAGTCCCTGGCTGCGGGGTGCAGCAGCAGGTTCCCCCCATGGGAACCCACCTGCACCGCGAATTCTGGAGCGGTCAAGCATGAGGGATGACATGGTTGGTCCAAGATCGGATCAATAATACGGGGCTAGCGGCGCCTAGGTATGTGGTTATGTGGATGAGACAGCAGGCCAGTGTGAGCCAAGTTCGAATGACACAAAACAAGGCAACCGATACGGCAAAGCTTTCTCTTCAGGAGGTCGTTTGTCCAACGATAGGTCCGGGCCAGCTGGGGAAACCGAGATGTTTCTTTTAAAGGCCAGAGGGTACGGGTATAGAAAAGAGGAGAGACAAGCAGCCAGGCGAGGGTTTCTCGTCGAGTTTTCTGTGCCTTGGGGCAGCTCGAAGAGCCTCCTCTAGTCTCTGGTCCCCCCTCGATGGTGTGTGAGCCCTGGGCGGTTTTCCAAAATCGGTGTGGCAGGGGTGTCTGATTGGTCAATTCAGCTCTAACACACTTATACAACCGTCCAATGGAATGGCCTTGCTTCACCGGAAATCGAGACGGGCTACAGAAAATGGGGTCTTCTGGGCGGCCCGCGGGAGCACGGGAAAGGCACTTATGCTCGAATGCGCACGTCACAGCACGCGGATAGCGACGCGAATGTTACAATTGATGAAACCGAATACTTTTTGCGATCTAGGGATGGACGAGGCACGACTAGGACAGCATTTGCGAAAACTCATTTGCCTTTTTTTTGATACCGCAGGCCGCGAACTAGGACGAGGTGGATTTGAAGCGTTTAGAGGTTCACAAAGAGCGCCGAATGATCATGAGCGATTATCAGGAGCCTACCTGTGGGGAAAATGGACCATCTCAAGTTTCTATGACCGTCGGATTGTTTTCGAATCTTGCCAAATTTTGCGGTGATGAACAACATCATCTTGAAGGGAAACTTCAACTTTCGGAGAATTGGAGCAACGCTTTTTTTTGTCTGGGCCCAGCCTTGCGGGACATGCCATTGCGCAACGGGGGGCGGCCCCTTCTCGCATGCAACCCACCATCCATCATCCGCCATGCCACCCCACCATCAGAGTTTAGACAAGAACCTCCGGCCGGCCGGCGTCTGCCCAGGCCGGATTTCATGCGGCCAGCTTTGATCTGATTTTGTGTTGATTGTTGCTTTCCTGGAACGGTAGGCGGGTTTTTTTTCAGGTAAGCACTCATTATTGTTTGTGTTGTTGTTTTAAGGTGAGTCAAAGTCAGCCTTGGGTGCCATCTGACGAGCGCCAATGCGCGGGCGCAAAACGGAAAAAAAAAAAAAAAAAAGGGGGACAAGCAACTTGAATGATATCTTGGGTACAAATTCAATTACAAGCTCAAGCAAGAAGGAGGGTTACGTAGGTAGGGGGAAGGGGTGTTACGCGCAGCTGTCACTTTTTTGTCACTGTCACTGTGCACATGGACTAGTTACTACCAAGACATGCACAACATGGTACAATTGAGATGTTGCTCTTGGAGGGTGGTGCGCATGCATCGGCGCCGTGTGTGGTGTGTTGGGCCGGACGCCATGCCGCAGATGGGGGTGTTGGGTGTTGATGTTGGATTTGCGCAGTCTGCCTTGATGATGTGTTTTATGATTTGGGAGATTTGCTGTTTTGAGAAGGGTTGGCTGATGGCCTTGGGCAGCTATGTCACCACCACCACTACCGAGATCTCGGGATTTTGCATTTGCGCATGCGGGTAAGGTTGTGTGGCATTGTGATGTCCTCATTTTTCTTGTCTTTGGTAAATGCCTACCTACCTACCTAGGCAGACTGGTATTTTGAGGACGGTTGGGTATGGTGGGTAGGTAGATAGTTTATGAGATGAGGCTGGTAATGGCGTTGTTTGGCTTGGAGCCTGGTGTCTAGCTGAATCAATATAGAGACATGGGAACATTTTCAAGTGAGATGACTCTATCAGGATTTTTTACTATATTGATTTACAAGTGCCGAGGAGGGCAAGATTGGAAATGGAAGGTTGAGGCGTCAGCCAGGGAGGCAGCCACCATGTAGATGGATTTTTACATCTGGGGGCCAGATGTGGAAGTCGAGGTGGTTGCCGGATACCGAGGATCCGACGATTTACATCTGCGGGTAAGGTATACGAGAGTGTGCTGTTGGGAGTTTTGGACCCCAAATCATCAATCATGGTCGTGGAAGAAGAAGGCTTGAAACACCGACCCCAAGGAGACCTCATTCGTATGGCAGTTGAACCTCTGTCTAGGGATGGCCTCACTGGATGATCCAACTTTGGTAATATTGTGAATCAACTTACAACAACCACATCCAGTTCCCGAGTTCAAGTCCGAGGCAGCCAATGAGATGGAGTTTGTATTATCACGTCCAAAAGTTCAGCTTCCCATCATGACGATCTACCTACCTAGGTCTGCGTGCTTTACCAGCCTGAGAAAACAATGACCGACATCACTGGCCATCTCGACCATGTTCATGTGTGTGTCTTTTTGAAGCGGCGGCCACGGTGGAAGATTGGAAAAAAGAAGTGGAAATTCAAAAACCACCGAATGGGCAAAAGAGACGAGGCTGCGGTAGCTGAACCCCCCTCCCACCCACTTGTCACTTCCACATCGAGCTTCGAGTATCATGTGAAAGTTGCATTAGTGCACTGTGGTACCTGCATATGCTACACAATGTACTTCGCTTCCTTGGCTAATTCATCTTCCCATTTTCCAGTCAAGATTTTAGCTTGGGTAAGGTAGGTAGCTTGTGATTTCTCCAGAAATAAAAAGATTTGATCTTGAGAAAGATATTCACGAGTGCCTCATCTGATGTGCTTCTAATATCATTGAACTGCAACACCGATATTCCACAGCCAGACAACAGGAGGGCAAACTAGAAAATATTCAGTTTAGTGTCTTTGTTCAAGTGCTATCTCAACTATCTCAACTAGTACCTCAACTCAATATAAAGCAGCCCCAAACTAAAATAAAAATAAAAAGTCCAAGACAGCAAAACCAAGAAACCCGAAAGAATATACAAGTTGTGGGTATCATCTATCCAGATGCAAGTATCGCTCTCTTTCTTTCACAAACAAGTTTATAGTTAAATAAAGGTAATCAAGATAAAACATGTGCAAGAAAAAAAGAAAATGGTCACTAATCTGTCCTGTATCCCCTGCCCCAACCCTAACCATTTCCAAACAAAAGCGCCGGCCTGCCTGTCAACAAAGTAACACCCTCCTCTTTCAGAAAAACAACCCCTTCTTCTTCTTCTTTCCCGTATCCATTCCCTTCAAGATATCATCAAACGTGCTCCCACCCTGAGACCCTTCCCTCGAGTGTCCTTGCCCTGCGGCAGGAATAGCAGGTGGTGCCCCCCCGGGCAAACCCCCAGCACCACCATAACTCGACTTCCTAGATCCCATTCCCATATGCGTATCCCCCACATGCCACTGCTGCCCCTGCTGGCCGGTCAAGTTCACCGCCGACCTGCTCGCCCTCAGCCCGCCCGGCCCGTATATCCCACCGGTAAACCCAGGGCTGCTCGACCCAGACCCCGTACTCGGCACCCGTGACGTCCTGTCCCCGGGCAGAGGCGGCGCGTCACTCCCCACATGCGGTAACGGCTCCAGCCCCATGGCAATACTCGCCCGATAAGCATGCCTAGCCCGATGCGCCGGACTCCCACTCCGTGCCCTCACCTGCGATGACCCCGGCGCGACAACACTCCCATCCGAACCCCTTCTCGAATGTCCCCCCCCTACCCCAGCATTAAACGGATCCATATCCGCAAACACAGCCCTGGGAGGATGCAACGGGCTAGCAAAAGGCAACCCCCCCGCCATCATCATATCATCTGTCCCCATCCCTCCCCCCTCCCCCCCGAGCGCAGCCTCAAACAGTACACGCCGTTGGTCCCGGCACTGAAAAATTATATATCAAAATCCCGCCCATCATTGTTCTGACAAAACACCCTTCATCCTGGATAGATTTTT